TTTTTACAATTGAAAAACCAAACAAAAACTAGCCAAGCTTGCATCCTTGGGTGTCAGGTTAACACAAAGGCTTGGGAGGCATATTTACAAAGGCTGTAATCCTGTTTACCCCTTACTGAGCCAACCTTGCTAGCCTCAGTTTTCCTATATATAAGATAGGCATGATGACATGAGGATCACATCAGCAGGTGCATAGTGATAATGGCAAACACATATACTCCCCATGTGCCAGGTATAACCCATGTCATTGTCACAGTAGCCCTATAAGGTAGGAGCTGTTATTATCCCATCTTACTTAAGGTTGTATGGTTAGTGAGTAGGAGAGTATGAATTTGGGTCCAAGTTGTCTGGTTTCATTGTCTATGCTCTTATGTGCCACACTATGAGTCCCTGCCACAAATAGGAGGACTGGAATCACTCTAAGATCCACCTTTCATACTATAAAATCAATGCTGAGGTCGGTGTGGAGCTAAGGTCAGGCTGCACTAGTCAGAGTGACCATAGTCTCTTCGTACTGAGGTGTCAGCACCAGGGCCAGGACTGTGGTGGCAGCTCCCACCTCTTCCTGGACTCCAGGACCCCATTTGAGGAAGGAGACGGTAGGACCAGCCAGGCCAGGATGTTGCTGATGTCCCTTTGAATCTCTTAGAGTGAATGGGAGAGCAAGCCATACAAAAGTAAGAGCTCTTCCCAAGGGCCAGGTGTGGTGGCTCACACCTGTAATCCTAGCACTCTGGGAGGGCAAGGCCCGTGAATTGTCTGAGCTCAGGAGTTCAAGACCAGCCTGACCAAGACTGAGACCCTCTCTCTACTAAAAACAGAAAAACTCACTGAGCATTAGGGTGGGCAGCTATAGTCCCAGCTACTCGGGAGGCTGAAGCATAAGGATTGCTCGAGCCCAAGAGTTGGAGGTTTTTGTGAGCTATGATTCCACAGCACTCTCATCAGGGCGACAGAGTGCGACTCTGTCTCAAAAAAAAGAAGAAAATAAAGAGGCTCTTCTCAAAGCTGGGACCACCAGGACTCAACATGTATCTGCAAAGCCCTAGAGGGGCCTGGCCTCGGGAATGGGGTTATGGCTTCAAAGTACTGGAAGAAGTCAGAGCTGGAGTGCACTGTAGACCCCATCAGAGCCAAGCTTCATTGTGCATATGGGGAAACTGAGTCCCAGAGAGGAAAGGGTGTCCTGTCCAGGTCACAGAGCCAGTCTGTGCTAGGCATGGGACTTGGAGAATAAGAGAGGTCCCAATGCTGCTGTGGCTCATGTCTTAGCCTGGATCCCTGTGCTGCACAGATGTGTCTACAGGAAATAGATACATCTTTGCTTGTTTGATAGCAAAGTCAAAAGCAGAGACCTACAATGTGCTATTACACCCACCCTGCCCTATCCTGGCTGCTTCCTTCCTTCCTTCCTGGAGTAGGATTTGCCCCTCTGTTCCAGGGATCTCATTCACCCCTGTCCCATCCCTTGGCCTCACCTCTCCTGTGGGCCTGACCTCAGTCCCCCTCCAACCCCTACTACTTCTCCGAGCTATCTTCTACTCTCCTTTCCCTTTTTCCAGAACTTCAGCCTGGCATCCTCTTCCCCTAGGTGTCCACATGGCTCAGTCCCTCACCTACGTCAGGGTTTTTTGTTGTTGGGGGGGGGAGTTTGTTTTGTTTTGTTTTTTGGTAGAAATGGGAGTCTTTATGTTACCCGAACTGGCCTCCTGGCCTCAAGCAATCCTCCTGCCTTGGTATCCCAAAGTGCTGGGATTACAGGTGTGAGCCACTATGCCCAGCCTAGCTTCAGGTCTTTACTCAAAGTCACCTTCTCAAGGAGGCCTTCTGCTCTTCATACCTGCCCCCACTTCCCCTCCTACTATCCTGCTTTTTCTCCTTAGCATCTTCCACTAACACATATTTTTCATAGAAAACTAGCTCCATGATAAGAACTTTTATCTTCCTCATACCTATATACCAACACTTATATGGTATCTGGCCCATTGTAGGCTCTCAAGCAATGTCTGCCAAGAGAATGAAAAGGCTTGCTCTGTGACTAGAGTCAGGCCTCATATGACTCTAGTGCAAGTCTATGGCAGAGCAGGGGGTAGCAGGTGGGGGCTCTGGACTGACCCACTGGCTGTTCTGCCTCCAGGGCCATGTTGCAGGAACATGAGGATGTAAAGACAGCTCCAGAGGCTGGAGGGTTCAGTGAGGGGCAAAATGGGGCAGAAACCAAACCCAGAGTCCCATCTGTGTCTCTCTGTGCTATGACTGAAGTTGTGGGACCATGTTGCCCCGGAATGAAGGAATGAGAAAGGATACCTGTTCATGCTCACAGGGCCATTGAGGCTGAGAGAGGGGATGAGGCTTGCCCAGGATCACAGAGGGAGGCCATTGTACAGCTGGGCATTCCAGCTATGGGCCTCTTCCTGGTCTCTCCGAGCCCTGGTTGTCCTGGCTAGGCTTCTGTCATTATGGGACGTCAAAGCATACTCAGCCTCTCCCCTTCCTTCCTGGATTCCCTATCATCTTACCAGTCTCCCTACTTACCACTCCCTCCCCCTTCTCATACTAGGGCTATTTTTTCATCTTTTTATATATTTAAATATATGATACATACAAATATATATCACTTTTATGTAAGTTATCAAGCACAGTCATAAACAAATTTACCCTCAATCCCAGAACTAGAATTTTTTTTTTTTTGAGACAGAGTCTTGCTCTGTCACCTAGTCTAGAGTGCCATGGCATCTAGATCAATCTCAAACTCCTGGGTTTAAGCTATCCTCTTGCCTCAGCCTCCTGTATAGCTGAGACTACAGGTATGTTCCTGGCTTGTTTTTTTTTTATTTTTTTTTTTTTTTTTTTATTTTATTATTTTTTTTTTTTGAGACAGAGCCTCAAGCTGTCCCCCTGGGTAGAGTGCCGTGGCATTACAGCTCACAGCAACCTCCAACTCCTGGGCTCAAGCGAGTCTCCTGCCTCCGCCTCCCAAGTAGCTGGGACCACAGGCGCCCGCCACAACGCCCGGCTATTTTTTGGTTGCAGCCGTAATTGTTGTTTGGCGGGTCCGGGCTGGGGATTCGAACCCGCCACCTTAGGTGTACATGGCTGGCGCCTTAGCCAGTTGAGCTATAGGCGCTGAGCCATTTTATTTTATTTTTAGTAGAGCAAGGATCTCACTCTCACTAAGGCTGGTCTCAAACTCATGACATCAAGTGATCCTGCTGCCTAGGCCCCTCAGAGTGCTAGGATTACAGGTGTGAGCCACCATGCCTATTCCAGAACTAAAAACTTATTAATAGCTTGCACTACCCTGTGTTTGTCTATATCCCTGTCTCCCTGGAGGAAATACCTTTTTAAAAAATCGTTTTATTACTTACATATATATGTCCAAATCTATTACTTTTTGCTTATTTTTCAGCTGTAAGACTGATGTCATTACTGTATATAGTCTACTGCATTGCTTTTTTTTTTTTTTTTTAAGAAACAGTCTCACTTTTTTGCCCTTGGTCAAGTGCCATGGCGTCACAGCCTCTTTTGCTCCATGTATCCCCAAACTGTATAATTCCCCATCCTAAAAAAGACACCCACACCCAGACTCTGTTCTGTCTTCTCTGGAAAGCCATCTCCAGCCCATCTCCAGCCCCCACCACCCTGAGCCCCACAGCCTCCAAGCATCCCACACTCCTACACTTGTCATAATTACTCATGATTGCTTATCCCCCATTAGACTGCACTCCTCAAAGGCAGAGACCACTCTCATCCATTGTGCATCCCCAGTGTCCATGTAGGGCCTGCATACCATAGGCACTCAGTAATTGTTGAAAGGCTAAGTGTATACATAAGCAATGACAGGAACCATGGGTGTTGCTGCCTTCTGCATCCCAAAAAACAAGACGATTCCTACCTAGCTCCAGGAGTAGCAGATCTTTGCTCCCCAATGCCCACCCCACCTCTATGCTTAAGCCCCATGAACCCCAGGAGGCCTTTTCCTATCTTTTCACCTTTTGGGGAATTTCCCTCTTTACATCTTCCTTCCAACTCTGAATTTCCTTCATATGGGAATGCTGTAGCACCAGGAAGAAGGAAAGGGAGCCTAAACCTGCTCTCAATGTATATTGAACATTTCTGAGGGAATAAAAATTGATTCCTGGAAAAGGGGTAAAAAATCTTATGCTTTTTATGTATAAAGCACACATATACTTACAGTACATAAACAGATATATTGTATATCTGTAGCTTTATTACTTTTTATTTATTTATTTTTTTGGAGACAGAGCCTCAAGCTGTCCCCCTGGGTAGAGTGCCGTGGCATCACAGCTCATAGCAACCTCCAACTCCTGGGCTCAAGCAAGTCTCCTGCCTCAGCCTCCCAAGTAGCTGGGACCACAGGTGCGAGCCACAACGCCTGGCTATTTTTTTTTTTGGTTGCAGCCATCATTGTTTGGCAGGCCCAACCTGGATTTGAACCCGCTACCTTAGGTGTATGTGGCTGGTGCCTTAGCCACTTGAGCCACAGGCGCCAAGCCATATCTGTGGTTTTAAAATTCTATGTGCTTAAGAAAAAAAAAGGCTGCTAAAAAAAAGGCTGAGAAATTCTATCTGCCCTCATGAGCCTTGCTTGTCTGGTCTAAGAACTGGTTGCAACTGGGAAAGAAAGAAGCAGGGGAGAGTCGAGAGTCATCCCAGGGTACGCTCAAGGTATCCCCAAAGCCAGCCACCCACTAGCTAGCTCTGGTCCTTTGCACCAAACCATCTCTCCCTCCTCTATGCCTGAAATCCCCATTCTGTGTCTGGCGTCCTTTCTACTGAGGTCTCAGGTCAGCGCTTCCCCATCCTTCCGCAAGGGGTGCCCTGGCTCCCAGGGCTTAAACAAGTTAAGGCCTCTCAGCTCAGTGCTCTAGCATTTGGCTAAGGCATAACCCTTAGCTTCTAGAGCAACCCAGGAGGGAAGCCCAACCACAGTGAGGGGCCCCCAGAAAGGGGGTGCTGCTGCTATGGGATAAGGCTTTCTTTATTGGGGTAGAGTTGGGATCACAAATAATCTCTACTTAGAAGTGCTCTATGTGCCCAGAGTCATGTGTGGATAGGGCGGGATTGACTGAAGCTCTGTTGGTAGGGGCTACAGAGGCAGAGGATTGGGGAGCGGGGATTGAAACTCTGTTGGTAGGGGCCACAGAGGCAGAAGAGTGGGGAGCGGGGATTGAAACTCTGTTGGTAGGGGCTATAGAGGCAGAGGAGTGGGGAGTGGGGATTGAAACTCTGTTTGTAGGGGCCACAGAGGCAGGGGAGAGAGAAGAGGGGCCTGAAGGTCTGTTGGTAGAGGCCACAGAGGCAGGGGAGTGGGGAGAGGAGATTGAAACTCTGTTGGTAGGGGCCACAGTGGCAGGGGAGAGGGAAGAGGGACCTGTAGGTTTGTTGGTAGCGGCCACAGAGGCAGGGGCAAAGGGAGGGGCGACTGAAGGTCTGTTGCTAGAAGTCTCAGAGCCAGAAGTGGTGGAAGAAGCCATATATGAATCATATACGGTGGTGCTGGGCAATGCACTTGTATGTTCTTCAAATGTTGCAGGGTCTTCAGATCCTTGGGGTTCCCGTGGGGTCTTGGAGCCGATGAAGACCAAGTAGATAATGCCACCTATGTAGGCACCCAGAATTGGTGCCACCACTGGCACCCACCACCAGTTCTCATTAGCCCTGCAGGTAAGAGGCGGAGGCCTACTGAGGGGACTGATATTCAAGATGGCACCCACAGCCACCTTGGGCCAAGACAGAGTCTCTGTGTGTGCATAGGGGAGTCACCCCATCCTGCCCCAGGAGACACCCTCTGAATGAGTCGAGGCACTCAGAGGGTGCCATTGAGTCGACATTGAGTCCAGGATCAGCATCTGCATCTGTGCTGATCTGGGGGATCTTTGGGACCCACTCCTCCTCCTTGAGCCACCTGGGAGTTCTGCAGGACTCTCCTGCGCTGCTTCTCACATCATCACCCCCCACCCTCTACATGCAGGGGGCCCCCAGAAAACCCACAAGAATGGGCTTGGGCAGGGGCAGTACCTGAAGACTTCCTTGCCCCAGCCAGCAAAGTAGGTGAAGATGCGGGGGGGCAGGTCCCGGGAGGGGTTGATACCATATCCAGAGTTCATGCCTAGGGATATCCCAATGACGGTAACGAGGAAACCAATCACCAGGGCCTGTGTCCCTTGCATTTCTGGGTTTTTCTTTTCCCCGATAGCGAAGAGACACAGCTGGAGTATCGCCGTCACTACCACCTGGGGAGCAGACACTGTGGCAGCCCACTCAGGACTACTAGACAAGCCACAGAACCTCAGCAATGCCCAAATCCAAACCCACTAGCAGAGACATGTCTGAATTCAATCCCCATCCAGAGTTCTTGTCCTCTCTATCGTGAGGGGCTCCCTCCTGGCTCCTTCCTGTGGGGTTGAGGGCTTGGGGAAAGGTACCTATCCTTAGACTACTGACCTCATCCACGAAGCCCCGCCACAACGTCATGTAAGCAGGAAGGTAGGTGGCAAAAATGCTGGCAGTGGCTCTGGGACCAGTTACTGTCAGCTGTCCTCCCGAGAAGTGGATAATGGCTGCTGTGGGAGACACAGATTGAGAATGAACCTGCCCCCAGCTAAGCCCCACTTTGGTCCCAGAAGTGAGGCTGTAGAATACAGCATTGGGGAGCTACAGGACTTTTCTCTCTTGGACTTTTTACAGACCAGGATATTGAGGTCCCATCTGCCTATATCTGCCCAGGGCATAACACTCACTGTAGAAAAGGCCATAGATGGTGAAAGCAGCCATGAAGGAGCCCATGAACTGACCCAGCACGTACACAGGAAACTTCTTCCAGGACATGCGGCCTAGTGCACAGCTGACAAAGGTCACTGCCGCGTTCATGTGGGCCCCTGTGGGGAGGGGGTAAGTGTGTTGGGAGTAAGAGCAGAATCAAACAATAGTACAGATAATATTGAGAGCAACAACAATAATAATGGCTGGTGTTTATAGAATGTGTTTCTGTGGCAAGACCTCTCTTATTTAAAACCTCACAATGACCCCACCAAGACAAGGATCACCATCTCCACTTCACAGTGAGGAAAATGAGGGACAGATAAGGTAAATAATCTGCCTAAAATGATCAGCTAGTAAAAATAGTGGGTTGAGGGAGCCCATGAAGAATCTAGGGCAGACACAGCCATAAGCAAGAAGTTACAGGTGTTCTCCCACCAGGTGGCCAATAAGGGGACGGGCACAGGCTGTGTCAGACAAGAGTAGCTGGAGGGGGGCAAGAAAGAGCTTACAGGGGACACCTTACCTTGCCCGGTCAGGCAGGGCCTGGGCTCACTCACCAGAGACATCGCCTCCCGTGTACACGCCCATGGTGACGCCAAAGCCAAAACCCAAGTTGACACCGAGGAAGGTCCCAAATTTGTTATCTCCTAGAACCATATGGGCCACAGAACCGAGGCCAAACACCTACAAAGGAGGGTCTCTAAGGGGGCTGCCTGCTCAGAAGCCCCAACCTCAGAGCTCAAAGCTCAGTTCCAGCTCCTCACCCCCAGGCCTGGGCCTCCCCAGCATTGCCCTTAAAGACCTTCGGCCATGCCCTCTTCCCCTAGAGCCTTCCCTCCTCATGACCACTCCTCTCTTGCCCCTGTCAAGGTCTCTCATCCTGAGCTGTGGAGAGCTGGGAGGGGTGGCAGAGTGAGAGGCTCTTAAGGCACCTAAGCCCCAGGCCCATCTGAAGTTGAGAATGAGGCAGAACTGCAAGGAAGGGGTGGCTGGTGTGCATTGTACCCTCAGAGCATCTCACACTAGAGGCTAGCCTAAAGAAGTTTCTTCCAGAAATCCCTGGGCCCCATACCCACCAACCTTGGAAGCCGGCAGGATTTTAAAGCTCTTGCCCTCATTTCTGAACTTCTTATTCTTGCCCAACACTAGTGGCTCTTCAGATGACCTCCCCTCTTCACAGGGAGAATAGAGGCCCTTACACAGCCTCAGTCTGTGTCCAGCCCTCCCCTTCAGCTCTGCTTCCCCGCCCTTTCTCTCTACAGAGGCCTCCCTCTTGCCTGTATATCTCTCTCCTCTCCCTTGGCTGGTACCCACAAACTTGAGTCTCATCCTTCCTGATAAACTTTCCTGCCTCCCTCTCTAGCTGTGGGTTCCTGAACGCCACTCTCCCCCATCTCAGTCAGGCTCTGGGGGAGAACCCCCAGTCAGCTCCTTTACCCCTCTCTTGTACCCTCCTCCATCTAGCTTCTGCTTCCACGTGTCACAGACACCCAAGCTTTCCCCAAGAGCCTCAGCAACCTCCTCATTCCCCAAAGGTCTCTTCAGACACTGTCTGGCTTGACTTGATGACCTAGTGCTCTTGATGACTCTGTGCTTCTGGAAAGTGCCTCCTCTTTGGCCTCCATGACATCACTCTCCCCTGGTTTCCCTCTCACCCTGCTAACTCTCCTTCCTTCATCTGCCCCATGAACACAAATGATTACAAGCTCCATCCCTGGCCCCTTTCACTTCTCACTCCAATCACTCTTCCTGTGTCTTATCAGGTTGATGGCATCAGAATATGCCTGGTGCATTAAAATTCCTACAGTGTCCTCCTGGAAGCCAGATCCATACTTCCGGAATCCTTACACCAACCTTTTGAGTTACGCACTATTATTCTCCCCATTTGACAGATGGGCAACTTGAATCTCAGAGCAATTGAATGGCTTATCCTCGGGGACTCTCCTGGGTATTCCATGGGTGTCTCAGGCTCTACATTAAAAGCTTACCATCTCTCAGAAAGCATGATACTCATCCTATGTTCCCCATCTCAGTTGGCCAAGCTAGAAACCAAGATGTCATAAATGAGGGTTTCCTCCCTCTCCTCCCCAACAACCAATTCACTCTGCTTACATTCTCTCCAGCCTCCTCCTTGCAGCCAGAGGGACCTTTCTAACAAAGGACCTTTCTAACAAAACTCTGATCATGTCTTCCCCTTGCTCAGACATTCCCTGGCTCCCCTCCATTTATAGGATAAAGTTCAAAAACATAATTTCATTCCTTCTGCCTCTCAGTTTCATATCTGCTCCAATATTCTCTATGTTCAGCAACAGTATCAGTACTAAATAAAAATAACCATTTATGGAGCACTTACATGTACTATGTGCCAGGTACTGGTAAACAAGTTATTTTTGTCACTTCCCTTAATCCTTACACCAATCTTATGAATTACGTACTATGATTCTCCCCATTTGACAGATGGACAATTTGAATCTTAGAGAAATTGATGGCTTCTCTAAGGTCATACAGGCTGTACTTGTTGAGCCCGGATTGAATCCAGGCAGTCACCTATGCCCGACAGCCTCAAACCAAACAACCATACTGCTCTGTGTGTGTCTTGCTTTCTCATGCCTCTGTGTTTTTGCATATTCTGTTCCCTCTGTCTGGAGTATTTGATCCTAGATCCTAAAAAATTAATACTCTTTAAGGCCAAGCTCAGATGGCACCTCCCTGGACATGCAGTTCTTTTTTTGTGTTTTTTGTTTTTTGTTTTTTGTTTTTTTTT